TGTAAGCCTTTTTTTCTTTCTTTTTTTAAACAGGAGAAAATCAAATTTAATTTTGTGTGCGTAGAGAAGCCACACAGACATGAGATTACCCTCCACTGTAAACCTCTGGATTGATAGGTGGATCTAGGGTTTTCAGGGCATCTCCTCAGGCTCTTTCTACAGTTGGGCTCAGGATGGCATACCCTCACCATGGAGGTAATTCTAACAGCTGCCCAGATCAAACAACAGATAATCCTGGCTATTTTTTTTTTTTTAAATTAAAAGCTACACTTTGGGAAAGAATGGCAATGGAGAGCAATACAGTTCCAAAAGGAACTGTGATCTGGCCACCCAGCAGGTGTTTTGTTTTTATTTACAAAGTAAATACAATTTTTGTCAACCTGCCATAATGGTTTATGTTACAACTGGTTTTAGCAACAAACGGAAATAATACTTCAAGGGTCCCTATGCACTCGTTTTACATTTTATATTCAGTACTTAGAATAATTGCTTGGAACAAATTTTAGGTATTATAAAATATTTTTTTTTAAGATTGTGGAGTTTACCCATGATCAAAAGAGATTAAAAAAATCAGTAAAATGCAGAGGTAGGTAATCTATGTAGATGCCTTTACCCTGTATAGATCCTAAAATCCAAGGAAGATAATTAAAGAAAATACAAAAGTACAAGGGAGATAAATGAGTAATGAATTGTCTTAACTTTTATTTGATTATTTTCATTCATTTACAGTTCTGGCACTGACACTTTTTTTAAAAAAAGATTTTAATTTTATGTAAAGATTGAACTTCAGTAAAATAACTTAAAAAATTTACATATACATCACTAAATTTCCATAAAATATACAATACTTTTGATACAGCTATAGGCTAGAATGACTTTGAAAGAAATGATACATATTCATAATTTTTAAGAGATATCTCATATGTCACATATGTAAGAATAAATATTTATATTGAATTTTCTAAGACGTGAAGTATTAAATACTATATAACATGCACTCAAATTAAAATATACATTTTGAAATACATATTTTTAAAAGCATAAAACTTTTGATTTAATCTAGATGTACATTAGAGCTTCTAAATAGAAATTTGAACATTTATTACAAATAAAGATACTATAACATCAGATAAGATATAGTCCAAAAGCTGCTAGGAACCAGTTTGGACATGTAGAATATAAATTTCTACTTTGGCTAGAGTTAAGTCTCATCTTTTTTAACATTCAAATGAGATGGAATGATGTTAAATTTACTAAAATTTTAAAACTTTACAAAAGTTGGTTTTTAACTTTAAGTACTTGTAAGTTGCATTCCTTTTTCTCATACTGATATGACAAAATCAAACACATGGACTTAACTGTGTGAAATAAAAATCTGAATATTACTGCTAACTGAAGGTAGTTATTGAACATTCCATAGACCAAATCACTCAGTGCAACAGACTGTTTTATACATCCAAAGTAAAGATTTATAGGAATTATATTGTTTTACACTCACAAGCAAGTTATGAGGATAAAATTCTCTCATGTATTTCTGAACAGCATGTAACACTCTTACAAAATATCTCTTTGACGATTATTGGCACACAGATATTTCCTTCTCTAAAAGATAATGTAAAAGAGTTGGTAGTGGTTAGCTGTTTTTAAAGTGATTGCTATTTCCAGAAAATAGCAATATTTCTCACCCAGAGAACGGGAATGTACTGATAACTGATATACTGCTACCATTTGATCACTTCATCAAATTAGCTTAACATTACTGTATGTGAGGCTAAAAAAAACTGACAGTGACAGAAAACAGGACATTAAAATTGATCTAGAGAATAATTCTGAGTCTCTTCGTTGTCGGCAGCTACGCATAGCTATAAATTTTATTCACTATTTAATACATTTTTCAATTAAGCATGTTGTCATGAATTCTTTGCTACTGGCCTGATTTGTAGTTAGTTAGTAAAAGATCTAAATTTGGTAACTGAAAACTTGTTGCAACAACTGTGTAAATGTAGGTTGTTAGGTGCTTAGTCTACTTTGAGATTTGAGAACCAGGAGAATGGTTAAAAAAAAGTCTGATGATTACAAGACATCTCATTAGTTTTATTGTTCTGAACAACTATGCTGATGAGATAAAGCAATTATACTCCCCCTTACTGTATTACAGTACTTCTAAGTTATATTAGTGTCATTAAGTTGTGAGGCTTCGAGAACACATGGGTAGTATTTTGTAGAATATTCTCCCCTAGGATCTAGGATTATAATACATTTCAATTTTACTTTCCAATATAAAAGCAAAAGGTAGGTTGTCAATTACATTTTTCCTGTTCATTCTTCCTCTGGATAATGGATTTTGAAATAACAGTAAACAACTTCTAAATTCTTTGCTTTAATGGAATTCTCATTTTAGAGTGAGTAACCTAAAAAATAATATTTAGATTCTTCTACACTAAAATGTAGCTCACTGGTAAAATAAAATTATGAAAAAGCACTTGATAACATTGCCATTGTAGTATTTTCCATCAGGGAACTAACTGCTGCATATGGCTGGGAACAAAATTTCAAATGGAAATATTAGCTTTAAAATTTAGTTTTAATTCGGATCTTTTACAAATACATTAAAAATCATGTTTTGGGTAAGTACTAAGGTGTGACAGTCAAAATTGTTAAGAATGTTTGTATTGAAGGAAATTATTAATGCCAGATCTTTAAAATTTATCTGACTTCACATTCAGCTCTATGAGTTCAGATGCAGATGAAGGATTATCTTCTCTTTAGAGCAGATCTCACCAGCCACCAAGCTAAGCCTCAAATAGGAGTTATGACTTTCTTTGCAAGTATTCGTAGAACAGATCTCTATTGAATTTGAAACATGCTTAGAATGAGACCTAGAATTTCAGTTAAAAGCATGATGCTCAATCTGTTTTAATATGGTAGGTCAAATTATACCATATATAAATTGTCCTAAAAATACATATTTGATGATATTTCAAATGGAATGTTTTCAAGTTAATAGTGGTAGCCAAAGATGCTGGGAACTTAAAAGGTACATAATATAAAAAAACCTGCAAAATTCAAATACTTAATTTTTAATATACTATAAATGTTCACTGAATCTAAAAATAACACCCTAATTGTATAAGGTTTCTTTTTAAGTAGTTGTTTTAAAAAAAATTAGAAATAATCTTTATTCTATGCCATTCTGTCTTATACTTCAAAGATACGGAATATTGTCTTTGTCACTATATAAATAACAAGTAGTTCTTTAAAGGAGAGTTTGAGGAGACTAGGGGAGGAGAACTGTGGCTAATTTTCCCTGTTATTATGTGCATTTATGGATATAAAGTTGAAAATGCCATTTGCTCACGTCAGGGAGAACAGGCCATGTTCTGTGTTAGGAGATAATAAAAGTCCAGTCGCTCTTCTAATAATAAGGTTACTGTGCATTCAGCCCAGCTGAGTAATATAAGCATATAGTTAAGGCTAAGTATACAATAAAGAATTGAGGCAACTATTTGGATAACTCAGAAAAATACATTTTTAGAGAGCACTTTTTCTTCTCGTCATATTCTGATTTTGCCACATTAACAGCTCATTTTCCATTTCACTACCTGTGTGAAGTATTACGCAGATAAGAAATTTCTTGTTGGATAAGAAATATCAATAATTTTCTCTATTAAATCACATTGCTTTTCTGGGGGAAAATCAACATCAGTAATGCCTTAAATCAATTGTCAAAGCACCTAATTCAGGGGAAAAAAAATCAAAATTTTTTTTATTGTATGAAATGATCAAAGAGTGTTTAAAAAAAATTTTTTTTTTGGCTGAAGGAGTTTTAGACCAGTAAAGTGACAGTTTAAAAGCACTTATCATACCCCTGGTGGCTAAGAGAATTAACCTCCTTGCCAGACTTTGAGCGAAGAACAAAACATCTTGGAGACTGGCAGAAACACACTGAATTTAGAGATAGCCGTCTTTTCGCTCCAAAGAGTCTTTATTAAATGTTTAGAGCCATATTAAAATGTATCAAATTTATATATGCTGAACTGGCTACAGAAGATTCATTCATATTTTCACTGGAACTAGCAAATAATTTTGTATATCCTGTGAAGTTCTTAAGAACAAAAATAGATTTCATTGATGAATGAGCATAAGAACCAATGAACACTTTGCAGAGACACTGCAGAAATGCAGGCTATATTAGAAACATCAATCTGTTCCAATAGAAAATCTCAATTTTTAGACAAGAAGGAAAAAATCCAAGCCAAGTATGAGAAAAAGGAAACACCCAGGGACAAATCTATGTATTTTTTTTTTTTTTTGGGTAAACTGGGAAAATGAGAAAAGGGTGTGCAAAATAAAAACAAGTTTATGCTCTTAAAGTAAAAAAAGACAAGTACTATTAAGTAACGAAATGTCACGATTTCCTTATGAAGAGTTAATAAAAAGTTAAGGAAAACATAAGTCCCACTATTTACTTACATCAATATAACAGCAGGATTCTCTGTCATTTTCTTCCTTTCTTTTTTGTTTCAGAAATTATTTGATTAAAAGAAGGGGAAAATAGTCTGCTAGCAGCTATTTATAGAACACAAATGAAGGCACAAATAGTAGGGCCCTAGGGTCAATGAGTGAAGGCGTGGTGAATATCAGGTGATTTTGGCATGAACAGAAACCCTGAAATACACTTGAAGATCTGGCGCTGTTTTGTGTTTATAGATGCATACCTAATAACTCAATCGGGGATCCATAAAAATGTTTTCTTTCTTTCTAGCAATAAAATATACTTATCAAAACTTGCTAGCTTATCTGTGCAAATGTATACTTATCACTGATGCAAAAACTACGTATGAAAATAAAGCCTTAAAGACCTGCTTTTCATAATGTTCCAAAGGTCCAGTGCAGAGTCAGTTTCTGCCATCCAAGTACTAACCAGGCCCGACCCTGCTTAGCTTCCGAGATCAGACGAGATCGGGTGCGTTCAGGGTGGTATGGCCGTAGACCAGAGTCAGTTTCTGAAGAGCTCTCACGATGTGACTTGGAGAGAGAAATAATGGGGAGTCCAGAGGAGATCAGGACAACTGTACCTCTGCAGAGGTACTTTTGAATTTGCTGAAAGCTTAAATGGAATTTACTTTCTAACAGCTGATCACAGATAAGCTACTTGTCCTTAGGAAAATTTAGGGCCAACAGGCCATGTTTTGACAGAAAACACCTTGGATCATGTCCCAGAATCCTTCTTCATAAGTATATCGTACATATCCGGCTCAGCTAGTTTAGCACTGATTCTACTGCCACTAATAATTATATATGGTCTTAGGAAAAAAAGGATACCACTGAAGTCACTGGATACAATGTTCATTTTAGATTATCTCAGGAAGGAGTTACATACATTTGTTCAATAATTATTAATTTAAAATCTCTAAATATTGTTTCACATTTCTGTTTGTGAAAAAAAAATGTCATCATGGTTGTATCTTCCTCCTAATCAAACATTCTAGAATATGAGGTCATTCAAAACTAGACTGTGGAAAGAACCAGATTAAAAGCAGGGCAGTGAGGTCACCAATTGCTGTTTTTGTTCCCCAAGTTTGTTTAAATACCTAAATATATTAGCAGCTGAAAATTATTCCACATCAGAAGCATCGTTGTCAGAAAGATGATAGTTACTTCCCTTCACCCGAATATATTCAATGTATCTCCCTTCATCAGAATCTGAGGCGCCACATGTACATAACCTGTTGTCAAAGAGTGATTCAATTTCCTCTAATTTCTTCCCTTTGGTCTCAGGAAGACAGCCATAGATGAAAAGGAGTCCCACAGCAGCGAATCCAGCATACAGAAAGAAGGCCCCTGCAATGGAAAATAATTATGTATGTATATGTATAGTCCTGGGTTCGAAAGTATACTTGATTGTGACTTTTATTTCTGGTCAATCATACATAACTGTGGTCTTACATGGAGCCAAAAAAACCCTACCGGGTTGCTTTACTCCTACTATTCTAGCTCTATGAACATAATACAATTTACCTTTCTAAACTCAAGCTATATAATGCCCAACTCAAGAATAATGATAAACTGGGTTCAGATGTAACTTCCACTTTGAAGTTTTCCCGTACTTCATTGACTAGAGATCACGGTTTTCTCTCCTTTGTACTTTTACAGCACTTTGCTGAAGCCACCATCATAATAACCAAGAAGTATTATGTGCATGCATTTGTGTCTGTCTTGTCTACGAGAATGGAGGCACTATGAGGGAGAAATTTCTTTCTCACTTATCCTGTATTTCTAGAACCACGTACAATGGCGCTGCTTCTGAATTCCTGACTCAGTGGAGTACATGGCAACTTTGCTTTCCAATGTCTCATGCCCAAAGTTGAGAAGATCAACCTTGACTTCTCCTTTACCCTCCCACCCAATATCCAATCTGTTAGGAAATTCTGTTGGATCTACCTTCAAAATATCATCCAAATATGACCACTTCTTACCATTCCACTGGTATCTGTGGTCTAAAGGCAATCTTCTCACCTGCACTATTACAGCAGTCTCTTAACTAGTCCCTTTGTTCCATCTCTTAGGCCCCCAAGGTCTACTAGTTTGGGTCCATAGCACTCACCATCTGACATACTATAAAGCTTACTAACTTGTTTTGTTCCTCGACTAGAATGTAAGTTCCATGAGATCAGAGAATTCTGCCTTCCCCTAAGACTATGCATGCCAATGCAGCGTAAACACAAAGACCTAAGTAGTACCTGGTTGTGTTAGAATTCTAAGTGTCAATACAGCAAGCCTAGATGGATGAGCCATATATGCCTTGTGTATATTCTCTATATATTTCTAAGATGGCCTTTCTTATATAATTCTCAATTTAAATATAAGAACCTAACCATAGTGTAGTTCCTGCCTAGTTTAAGGTGTTTAATAGAGATCAACCTGGTGAAGGAAGATAACAAACTAATGTGACAAATGACAGAAAGGATACCAGACTGGGAGTTGGAAAATCTAGATTTAAATTTTGTTGTGTGACTTCCAGTGATTTAACCTCCTCTTTGTGCCTCAGTTTCCATATCAAGTAAAAAAAAGATGGTATCTCAGCTCCTATTTTATATATTTATTTTTCAGAGAGAGAATGAATGGGAGAGAGGGACAGAGGATCCGAAGTGGGCTCTGCACTTGACAGCAGCGGGGCTTGAACTCACAAACCGTGAGATCATTACCTGAACCAAAGTCAGAAGCTCAACCACCTGAGCCATCCAGGCTCCACGCAGCTCCTGTTTTAGTTTATAATTCTATCAATTTCACAACCCCGATTGGGAGCAGACATAGGAGAGATGGTTATGAGATGCCTGAGAGGGAGATGTGCGCTTCTGTTTCAATGTCAAAACTGGTCTCCCCGAGGGCTGAGTCTGTGGCTTGTTTGTATCTGGGTTCCCAATGCCTAGTACGGTGCCCGACACACTGGAGCATTTAGAAATAAATCTGCAAGCAGATCTGAAATAAAGGGCTAAACTAGACAAAGGCATATTTCAAAATCAAGCTTTAAGCAAAACAGCATAGCAAGCAGTTAAAGAACTGAATAACCTTTTCCCATTCTGAGGAATCATTACAGAACGGGAAAGACATTAGGAAGACTACTTTTGAAAAGACATGCCTACATGTAACCGTTTCTGGAATACCCACGGCAACACTTCTTGGCAAGGCACAAGGAAAACGGGAGGGAAAGTGCTGAGCTGACCACCTGTAAGAACGTGCTCTGTGGAATGAGGAAACGTGGGAGAACTGCCCGGAAAGAGGTACAGTACCAGATTCAGGAAAAATACGCAAGGGTGACTAAATCATGGACTAGTTTGCTAGATTAAGTCACTGAAAGCCATACAACTCTCAGGAGCTGGACTTATGTCAGTCAAGTTCTCTGTTGAAAAACACAGCTCCATTTACAAACACCGGGGCCCTTTATTTCATTTGTTTGGATCATGTTAAATACTCCAGCTTATATGTATTTTTTTACGTCTTATACTTGGTAAATAACCAGAAAATACTACTAGGTCATCTGGGATGCATGGCTGAGCGTTACAGTGAGAGGAAGGCATGTGGATCTACAAAGCGACACAGGCAAACTCCTGAGGCAGTTTCTTAAATTCTCTTGAATTTAAGAGAATTTTCCTCATCTGTCTAATGGGGAAAAAAATAACTGCTGCCCTGCCCAACTGCAAAGAATAGAACGAAATGTATGCTATATGCCGATTAGAATTCTGGAGGTTAGCTGCAGAAAAAAGTGGTAGCATTGTCAAATGCAGCTAAATGACTACGGAAGAAGGGTTGCTATTACAGATAGAACAGAACAGGATTAGCAGGACTGAAAAACTGGGAATGTTTTCATGCAAAGGCTGATACGGGAAAGCTAGCTCTTGGATAACATGGGGGTTTAGGGAAGAAAATGCAAACAGATGAGGTCCTGTGTTTGATTACAGAAAAGTAAAGCTTGTGGTGGAAGAGAAATGGAATCTTTAGCAGGGAGGAACAGAGAAAGAATGGCAATCAGGATGACAATACAGAAAAAATAAGTGCAGATGGTAAAACAGTTTAGACTGAATCAGGCTGCTAAACTCCAAAATCTCTAACAGAGCAAACTAGGTTTGGCTTTATAAAATATAATGTTGAGGAAACATTCATCATGTTTCACAATTTAGGAACAGTGGCATGAATAGAAAGAAATCAAATCTGTCAGTGCTCTGCCCTTATGGTTAAAAACAACGAGGTGGAACAGGAAGATTCTTAAAGGCCGTATAGCTTCTTGCTTGTGACCCAGATTCCTCATCCAAATAACATCAAGGAAATTCTGTTAAAATACATGACTCTTGGGGCACTTGGGGTGGCTTAGTTGGTTGAGCGTCTGACTTTGGCTCAGGCCATGATCTCACAGTTTGTGGGTTCGAGACCTAGGCCGGACTGTGCTGACAGCTAGCTCAGAGCCTGAAGCCTGCTTCAGATCCTCAGTCTCCCTCTCTTTCTTGAAAATAAACAAACATCAAAAAAATAAAATAAGGATCTGAAGAAATCTAAAGCAGGCAAATACCAAAACTGACTAAGAGGGCTCTACTTAACTGCATTAAGCCACGGAGGCACGGGCCAGCCAGGAAGGCTGTGACGCCCTCCAAATAATGGGCAAGTCCATTATTTGACTCATTTTCTTATTTCTCCTTAGAATGCAAGTGGAAAAAAAAAATGTCTGTAGTGAGTCTGTCAGAATTGGTTAAGCGCAGATACTCCTCAGCTTTATTCTGAAGGAAATAAATCTTAGTAAGAATCCTGTGTCAAGTTTCAGATTTAAACAAATATTTAATTGAATTAGAATCAAAGACCATGCCTGACTGAATTTCAGGACCTCAGTATAGGAACTTTGACACAATGCTTTTCAAGGGATCTATTTAGTATTTAGTAGTCACAAGCGCTCCACAAACAATGTGTAGTGACATTTTAATGACAATTTTTAGTAATAAACATTACTGAATGGGGTCCTAGGCAGACTTGTCTAAGCAATATAGTTTAGGAAGGAAACAAAATTTGAGGTTTTATGAAATAAGAAAGGAGGAAATAAGACATGGATATTTCAAGAGAAATACATTGTTATGGAGTATGTTTGTTAAATCATGAATAGAAACATGTGTCTTACATAAATCAGTAACACGGTGATTAAAATTTAGATCCAAAAACAGAGAAAAAACTTAGCAAGCAGCAGACCTAATGGACCAATGTGCTGACATAATAGAAACCTGCCTTAATGCAAAGCAAGACTTCTAATTGGATATATACATACATGGAAGTACAGCTGACACAGTTCACGTTCATTTCTAGTGCACGACACAGTGATGTGGTAACTCTGTACGTTCTGCCAGGCTCACACATGTTGCTACCATCTGTCACCACGTATCACGATCACAAAACCACTGACCGTGGGCCCTGGGCGGTACGTTTCATCCCCGTGGCTCACTCATTCCATAACGGGAAGCCCTCCTTCCCTCAGGCAGCTGCCAATTTGTTCTAAATGAATATTTCTGAAAGAAGCCCCGCTATGCCTGATTTAAATTTTATTTTTGTTGCCTCTTGTTGTCTGGGCAGCATAAAGTCAAGACAGGAGCTTTGCTAACAAAAGTCTTGCCAGCTAGACTCTTAGCATTTGTTCTACAACTTAACAAAAAATACTACCTTGGAGTACCTCCCTGGGTGGCTCAGCTGGTTAAGCGACCAACTTTGGCTCAGGTCATAATCTTGCAGGCTCGTGAGCTTGAGCCCCAGGTCGGGCTCTCTGCTGTCAACACAGAGCCCACTTCGGATTCTGTCCTCACCCCCTCAAAATAATAAAAAATAAACAAACAAACAAAAATACTTCCTTGGGATTTCTCTAAAACAAACAAAAAATTAAGCATTGTCAAGAACTAGCATATGTGGGTAAATACTTATTGTACAAATATTTACAGTATCAAAAAGAGAAGTTTCTGAATTTACATAACAAACTTTAATTGCCAATGGGCTAAAACTGAATATACTAAATATGTATCCATTTTAAAGTGCTGGTGCATTTCCTTTTTTAATAAAATGTTTCTAAATTTCTGTTAATGCAATATATCACATTGATTGATCTGCAAATATTGAACCAACCCTGCAACCTCTAAATTTCTAAATGTTCCCTGGGAGAGACCAGAGTTTTATAAAGATAACAGAAGTTAGTACTAATACATCATGTTCAGGAGAAAGGAAGAATAGATTAGTATGTTTCCTCATATTCAAAATTCATCCGTGAATTTATTCATTTGACAAACACTTCTGAGTGCGTATCAAGTGAAGACGAGGCCCTGGAAGGCACTGGGAATACAATGGCAACCCAGGCCTAAGCTCCATCGATTTATGGTCCAACCATGGGGTGTGTGTTCTTGCAAAAAGGAATGTAGTGCCCAAAGCATGGGATGGGGTGGGATGAATGATGGGGAGGGGATCAGAGAATGGTCTAAGCAACAGACACTCCATATACATACAGCGACTTATGGGAATATCTTGTGATATTCCATCATTTAAAATCCAATTACAAACTACTGGCTCATGGACAATGAAGAAATTCTCTTGCTAAAGAGAAAAACTTTTCATTTTAGTAAAAATGGACTTGAAGTAGCTTCTTAAAGTTTTTTCCTGAAAGCCACTTCCTAATATTGTTTTGAATATGGTCCACACATTTTCACATAAACACCTCCGTCAGGTTTATGCTTTTGGCACTGGCAAGTGCTGGTCTGGGTGGACACTGCAATTACCATGCCGTGGCCTGAACAGCATAGGTGATCTAGTGGAAGGCATACATCACAGCATGACTTGGGGGAGCTACTTGGACACGACTCCATCTCCATCATGAGATATCTTCAACACTGGCCCTTAGATTCCCTGCCTGCATCTCTTCTACCATCTTACGTTATGTCTCTTCCTTGGTGAAGATTTCCCACTGGGGTGACAGCTAAGAGATGTGTGGATTGGACAGGGTGAAGGCTATAAAGCACTGAGAGACAAGCAGCTTTCTTTCTAAGTAAGACAAGCTTTCTTTCTAAGTAAGAAATTCCTCTTCTCTTTCCCCAGATGCATTTTCAAGGCCTTTGGGGAATGACAAAGCCACAGAGAGATACTTAGAATAGCAAAAATATAACCATCTACTCTTTCAAACACAAATGATAATACATATTAAAAAAGTAGGAAAAATAAAAATGAAACTATAGATGGAAAAAATATTCTCTTACCATAATATGTAAGATACTCTGCTGTGTGTAAAAACGTCAGTGAAACCAACACGTTGAACATCCAGTTTATTCCAGATGAACATGCATTTCCTGTACTTCTTGCCCAAAGGGGATATATTTCAGAATTCACAGTCCAAGGCATTGGTCCCATTCCTGAGAAAAATTGGAAGTTTCAGTACTTTACAAAGAATCTGAAAAAAAGTAGTTTGTGTCCTCTAAAAAGAGATACTTTAACACAAAAACACAAAGCCTTTGTTTACCAGGTGCGAAGAAAACAAGATATAAAATAAGGCCCAGAAGTGCAGTCCAGGAGTATGGCGTAGGGCAGAAATTGTAAGCCCAAAATACTTCTTCTGTTTTGAATTTGGTTTCATTCTCACACCTGAAAAATAATGCAATATAAGTATTAACTTAATGTTTTAGGGTAGAGTCGCAGAAATTCAATGTGCTCATCTTGAAGCATTAAGGAGCTATTTGGAAGCTCCTTAATGTCATGAAGGAAAAGGAGCCATGATGTTTTTCTTGAAAAAAAATTAAGATTTAAATATACAGGATTAGCTGTGAAGCTCACATAGAATATTTTAGGTCTGAATATAATTCAAGAGAGCTGTGTGTACAGGTCAACAACAACAACAAAAAAAAAATTGTCTAATTAAAAAATGGTCAGAGGATCTAAACAGACATTTCCCTAAGGGAGACACATAGATGGCTGACAGGTACATGAACAGGTGTTCAACATCGCTAATCATCAGGGAAATACGAATCCATAATCAAGGAAATTGAAGCCATAATGAGATATCAACTCCCACCTGTCGGAATGGCTACCATCAAAAAGATAAGAAATAATGAGGGCTGGTGGGGATGTGGAGAAAAAAGAGAACACTTGGGTACTGCTGGTGGGGGTGTAAATTGGCAAAGCCACTTTGGACAACAGGATGGAAGTTCCTCAAAAAATTAAAACCCAAACTATCATATGATTTGGTAATCCAACTTCTGGGTATTTATCTAAAGAAAACAAAAACATTAACTTGTAAAGATACATGCACCTGCATGTTCACTGCAGCATTACTTACAACAGTCAGGACACAAAAGCAACCTAAGCGCCTACTGATGGATGAATGGATAAAGAAAACATGGTGTGTGCAAACACACCACACATACACAGAGGAACAGGACTCAGCCTTAAAAAAGAAGGGATTTTTGTCATTTGTTATCATACAGATGGACCTTGAGGGCATTATGCTAAGTAAGTCAGAGAAAGACAAATACCATATGACCTTATATGTGCAATCAAAACAAAAAAACAGAGCTCATAGATACAGAGAACAGATTTGTGCTTGCTGGGCACAGAGTATGGGGGATTGAAATGGGTCAAAAGGTACACATTTACAGTAACAAAATAAGTCATCAGATGTACTGTACAGCACGGTGAACATAGTTATTACTGTATCACATGTGTGAAAGCTAAGAGAGTAGGTCTTAAAGGTTCTCTTGACAACAGACATTTGCAAATAATATATGGTGACGATATTTAATACCAAATCATGTTGTATACCTGAAACTAATGTTATAGGTCAATTATACCTCAATTAAAAAAACACATTGTATTTTATACCCACCTCATAGAAGACAAGATTTCTAGTTAGTTCTTGAAAGCTATAGTAACACTTTTGAGACTATTGAGTGTCACTAAGTTGTGGTAGGAAGACCTTAGAATCTGTAGTCAGGACAAGATTCAAATCTTAAAACTAGATATTTATTTTTTAAGTGGTTATTTATTTATTTTGAGAGAGAGAGAGAGAATAAGTTAGAGTGGGGGAGAGGAGAGAGAGGGAGAATCCCAAACAGGTTCCATGTTGCCAGGGAAAAGCCCAATGTGGGGCTCAATCCCAAGATGATGAGGTCAGGACCTCAGCCAGGATCAAGAGTCGATGTTTAACTGACTAAGCCAACCAGATTTTTTTTTTTTTTTAAATAAAATGGGGATAATGCCTTACAGATAATTTTAAGAATTAGAAGGGTCATTTGTAAAGACGTGATAGCATAGATGTAAGCAGGGAACAATGCCTATATCTGATTCCAACTAACACCTTCCCTTCCTGCTGTGTGCCCTTACTTATGTCTCAGTCACTCCCTGATAACTTTGCCTCTTAGTTCTATTGTAAAGCAAAGTGTCCTCTGGTCTTAGATTGACTCTCAAGTTGACCTTTCAATTCTTTACCTTAATTAAAACTGCAATTGCCCATAAAGCCATAACCCGTCCCCAAAACATTCTTGCCCCCATTGTCATTTTTAGACTCATATTCTACTTCTATCGACCGCTGTGTTTGAACCTTAACATGGAAGCCCTGTCCTTGCTGCTGTTTATGACCTCTACCATAAACACTCCACCTTGTCGTCACCATTTGACACGGTCAGTCGTATTCTCCACCCCTCACATCCTCTGCCACAATCATTTATTTTTAACTTCTGGCCCATATAATACTTTGGCTTCATAGTTCTTTATTTAGCCTCTGAAAGTGCAGAGAGGGCACTCTGTAGTTTGCTTGATTTGGAACTATTTTAAAGTCTCAGACTTAGAGCATTCCTTTTCTGATAACAAGCATTTTGTTTCCTCATTTCCTGTAATTTCCCCCACACCTAAGTCACAATCCTTAGACTTTAAACTCTTCTCAGTATTCATTTACCTTCATCAATTGGTGGGTGTAGACCATGCCAAAACTCTTTGTTGGCCTCTAAAATCCAACTTTCTTTCATCCATGCTTATCTGCCATTCTGTTTCAGTTTCCAGCCCTGTGCAGTGGGAATTTAACTGCCTTCAATCACCACCGGGCAAAATTATGGAACCATGCTGCTTGGTTCTATTAAAAGTTCATGCCATATCTTCTCATTGGGTCCCGAATTGTGCTTTTAAAACTCTTTCAGGGGCACCTGGGAGGCTCATTCTGTTAAGCATCTGACTGGCTCAGAACATGATCTCGTGGTGCGTGGGTTCAAGCCCCATATTGGGCTCTGTGCTGACAGCTCGGACCAGGAGCCTGCTTTGGATTCTGTGTCTCCTTGTCTTTCTCTGTCTCTCAAAAATAAATGTTAAACATTTTTTTTAAAAAAACAATCTTGTAAGGTCTTTTCTACTGAATTCTCTGCTTATTTCAGAGTAGGCATTCAATAAACTTTGGTCAACTGTTCCTTCCATTAATTAAAATATTTATTACTATCTTCTAGTACTGACATCTTTTCCTCTGCTTTCTCACTATGATGAATTTGGGTCCTTCTTTAAGAAGAAAAACGAACCTACTGAACCTCCGTTTTTCGAGATTTTCTTTTAGTTTCTTTCAGTTCTTCTCCTACCTCCATTGTAAACAGGTCTCTTGCCTTTTCTAAGGACCTGCACCTCCTTCTCCTTTGCCTTCTGTCTCCTCTCAGGTCACATTCCATCAGTCTGTCTTTTTCTGCCATTTACAGTTGCTTCTGACTTGAACCTTCCCTTCTGTTTATAACACACAAGATCACTGCTACTCAGCTGTTCAAATGCTCTCATATTACTAATACCAGTTCATTTGCAAGTACAGAGAAGTTTATACTGGTGAACTCTACATCCTCACTACCCACTCTTATATTCACAGCCCAGCTTGCCTGTCTACCTCTGTGCAGTGGACTCTTGCAGGGCTCTGTTTTCCTGAATCTGCTCACCCAAAAGTCAGACCTCCTAACCTCCAAATTCATTGAACTTGCCTTGATTATGAGGTTCTTTGATTACTCTCTGGTGGTTAATATTGATGACAACCTTTTTCTTCTCCTTACCCTTTGCTTTTACAGTTATATCTCCATCTGATCTCTCCGATGTATAGGTCTTCATTGCTTTTTAAGTGTATCTTTCTCCTCTCAACCTCTAAATATAGGTTAGAACCTTAGAAAAGGTTCTCTTGTGGGGCCTGTCGTTTGTCTCTTAAACATCTCATCTAATTTTAATTATGTTTTAAAAGAAACACAGATTGCCACATGCAGTATCTCACTTGGATGTGTGTGGAGTCTTAGAATCTAGACCACACTATGTTCTCCTACAAACGGATCCTGACAGCTTGTTTGGGGGTTCTAATAGGTGTGCAATTCTCACATACCCTTGATGGAAGATCAGCCCTCCTCTATCCAGGAAGGTCATCCTCTTTGAGTGCACAGCTACAGGAGAGACGCACATGGAGCAGTGAGGGAGGAAGGGGACATCCATTTAGCCAGGCAGATCAGCCAAATCAACCCTGGCGACCAGTGGGGTGACAGATGTCACTGCCAGATCACCCTCACACTCTAATTTTAGAGATTTATAATCTCTACATGGATGCTCCCTGGTAAGTTATTCTAGCAATGACTTTTGTCTCCACTGATGGAATTTGGATATCTGCTGAATAGCCACCATTATCGCAGGCTGTTGGAACATTCAATGTGATAATGCATACCGAGTGCTTAGCACACTGAATGGCAGGCAGTGTACACTAGTGCCTCTTATGACGTGCCTGTTTTTAATAATATCACCATCCCTCGAAATGGGTTAAACTCTTGCAGTTTATCTTCAATGTTTTCTTACCCATATCTCTTTAAATCCTCTATACCGTGAAATCCAACTATAGAGGAGCGGCTAAGACTATGAGTTCTGAGACTGGCATCCTCCGTTCAAACCTAAGTTGGGACACCCAGATTTGAAGCTGGGATATATGTGATCTAGGAACTTAACTTTTCAAAGCCTGTGTCCTCCTCTGTAAAATAAGGGATTTTCTTGACAGCTACTCTAAATAGTTATTCTGAGGCTTACATGAGATAATGGATGCAAAGAAGTTCACAGAGTGTGGGTAAGAACTCATGATTATACTTCTTAGACAAAATTTCTTGAATCGGACTCTTTTCTATGTGCATCAGCACCATCAGAATTCAGACTCCGAGTGTGCGTCTCCTCAAGTGTGTGTGGCTCTGTAGCAGACTCTAGCCTCCCCATGCTCTGTTTCCTGATGTTCATGTACTTCCCCAGTCCTCCCTCCTTAGTGTGAGAGGGACTCATGACTTCTTTCCAACAAAAATGTGCCAAAAGTGACAGGACACAAGTGACTAAGTGTGTAAGATGACAGTGCTGCTTCGTTGAAGTCTTTCCCTCCCTTGTGGGTACAGATGCCACCCATTCACCTGTCTGAAATTCTCCCTTCTCAATGCATTTTCATCTTCCTCATTTATATCATTATCACCTAAGGGCTCTGTACTGTCCTATCTGAATATCCTCCCTCTTTTACTGTCCTGGACTCTCATCCGAGGCAGCGCAACACAAAGGTTAAGGGCACAGGGCCTAAAGTCAGGCTGTATGGTTTTGTACCTCAGTTCTGTTACTTACCAGGAGTG